GTGGGGGGGGGTGTGGGTGTGGGGGGTGTGTGTGTGGGTGTGTGTGGATGTGTGAGTGGGTGTGTGTGTGGGTGGGTGTGGGGGTGGGTGGGGGTGTGTGGGTGGGGGGGTGTGTGGGTGTGTGTGTTTACAATGGAATACTACTCAGCCATCAAAAAATGAAATCTTGCTGTTTGCAATGACATAGATGGAACTGGAGGGTATTGTGCTAAGCAAAATAAGAGAAAGACAAATACCATATGATTTCACTCATGGAATTGAGTGGAATTTAAGAAACAAAACAGATGAACAAAGGAAAAATGAAATAAGATGAAAACAGAGAGAGAGACAAACCATAAGAGACTCTTAATCATAGGAAACTGAGGGTGGCTGGAGGGGAGGGGGTGGGGGATGGGGTCACTGGGTGGTGGGCACGTGATGCAATGAGCACTGGGTGTTACATGCAGCTGATGAATCACTGGATTCTGCCCCTGACACCGATGCTACACTATATGTTAACTAACTTGAATTTAAATTAAAAAAAAAAAAAAACTAGCCCTGACAAAAAGAAAAAAGGAGACAAAGAATTTATCAGGAAGAATATAGTGATGCTGATTTAGGAAAACAAATGGCTTACAGCTGAAGGCGGTCCTTGTTCAAATGCGACAGCTGGAGCGTCTCGGTCCCTAGCGAGGCGCAGGCCCAGAGCCGAGCCCCGAGGTCTCCGGGCGCCCTGTGCAGCCCTCCTGCCTTCCCAGCTCTCCGGGTCGTCGAGGGGAGCGGTGACTCAGGGCGCGTGGCTGCACTTTATATAAAGCTCTAACTTTGCACATTGAAACTGAGAAAGCAAGTGATGCACGAGAGAGCCCTCAGGTTGAGTTTCGTAAGTTGAAGCGCTTCTGAGTGCAGACGCACCACGGACGACAGGACTCCTGGGGGCCGGCTCCCATCTCCGGCAGGTGCAGTGAGGAGGGCGCCGGGAAGTCGAGGGCTGCATCCCTGCAGTAGGGCCGTACTGCCCACTTCTCACCACCCAGGTGCCCTGTGCCGTCTGGTTAACTCCCCACCTCCCCTTTGCGCTGTGGCCACACTCATTTCCGTGGCACTGTGGTTCTCTGCTCAGGGGCTGCAGCCGACGCATGTGAGGTGCTCGGGGGGCCTCCCCTGCATGTCTGCCTTGCTCATCTGCTGCCTGCGGCCCACTCCCCGCTCCATTTCACAGACCTTCGCTCTAGCCCTGCCTTCTCCCTCCCACTCCATGCCGTCCAAACATCTGTCAGACCCTCCTTCACGGCCTGGTTCAAGCACCAGACCATCCGAGAATTCCGCCCATTCGACAATGTAGCAGTCTTAAGGCCCACCCTTCAGGAATATTTCACGTCCTGTGGGTATTTGACCTGTTCTTTACCTTGAGGTCCCATGTCCGTTTGTTGCAAACAAGGACAACAAAGTTTCAGAGTCACATTTTTTTTTAATCATCACAAACTCTTATTTTTGGCTTAGAGCTGTCTCTAAACTGTTCCTTGTTGATGGAGAGGCAGAAACCTTTTTCAGACCCCACTCACGTCGGGCAGGCGCCCGTGCCTTGGCTGAGGCAGACTCCAGGCGAGGGAGGTGTGGGCGGGAGTGGGCTCCTGGCTTCTGAGGAAGTCCTCGGGGGGTGGGGAGACGTCGCCCTGCTTGGTGTCCCTGTTCTCTCTCAGCATCCCCAGCCTGTCAACACATGTGTTCCAAGCGTGGGACAGATGCCAGGCCCCGTCCTAGCACTGGGGACACAATGACAGAAAGTCCTCGCCCTGACCTCAGGCCGACCTCAGGTGTGGCCGGTTGCTGCAGGGGCCCCCAGGAGCCCACCAGGCGGGCACAGCGCAAGAGACTTCTCAGAGGACACAAATCAGCTGCTCACATTGGGGTTCTGGGAGGTGGTGCTTGAATTCCACATGGGCGCCGTGGAAGCAGACAAGACGGCCCGAGCGGGCAGGAAAGGCCTTCTGCCCTTGCGCAGACCCGGCCCACTGTCGGAGGCTTTAAAACTGAGTAAGGCGTCAAGTTAGGTTGACATGGAGCAAAAAATGAGGCCTGAGGGATGGGTCGCGGGATGTATGTGTGGTAAGACAGACGGCAAATTACTCGTTGTCACATCTGGGCGGTTGAAGTAGGGGGGCTCACAGTGCAGACCCTACAGCCATTCTCTGTGTTTGAAAACATCCAAGATAAAATGTTGGGGGGACATTTGAGCAGGCCTGTGCGCTCTGCCCTCCAGGTCTTTGCATGCCACCACCCCGAAAGTGCATTTGTTTCCTTTTTCAGCTGTTACTTCAGCGTCTAAATGGCACGTTGCTTCTTCTAGGTTTATTTATGAAACAGAGCATCACAACGGCATAGCAGAATTACTGGAAATCCTGGGGAGGTGAGTCGTCTCTGTTCCTGGCAGCCAGTGGAATTGATTCCAGAATGATCCAGTTCACTGAGTCCAGCAGCCCTCCCCAGAGCAAGACGATGAAACCATTCCCAAAGGAACTGAGATCTCCCTTGATGGAAGGGGTTGGTGAGGTCTGGGGCTAGAAGCCACCGATGAGAAACCCTCCTGCGTGCCTGGCTCAGCGCGCAGATGCCGTTTCACACAGCTCATCGAAGACCGTTACCTTAAGAAGGTTTATGTGTGACACGTAGGAGAATGAATCATTTATTGTACACTGGGGGTATTGAGTAAATGCTAATATTTCAAATTGCTTTGATTTTATAAATTTTTCATATGTGTCCTTAAAAGTAATTAACATTTCAAAAATTTTACCATCTTAAGCCAAGTGGAGTTCTTGCCTGCTGTCATTTTTTTTTTTTTTTTTGAATCAGTGACCTGTAGATTTTATATCAGACCTCCAACCCACTGTTTCCCAAATGGAGTTCCTCGGGGTTCCCCAGCCGAATAAGCTTAGAAGTGCTCTCCCCCAGCACCTTCCTTGGGGATTCGGCTGCATTGGCAGCTAAAGATTCCAAGGGACCCTGCAGGGAGGGAAGCTCTGTCCACCCCCAAAGCTTTGGGAACACAGGAAGCCTCTCTCTGGGAACACTGGTGTCATCTGGTCAATGAGAAAATCGTCCTTGCTGTTTTAGATATAATCTGAAAAAACCACTAGTCCTTGTGGAAAAGTCTACTTTGACCTGTCAGTCAGTCGATTTCTCTCAGTAGAGTGTGGTGAGCAGTCAAGGGGCCCTTACTAGTTGACCTTCCTTAACTAGTCCTGACCGCTGTTTTCTTAGTAAGGTGTGGGAACTCCACTCACCTCCTATGTGTTGTGAAGTGTCTGCACAGCCCGGCATGTCACAGAGAGGACTCTGTGCTCCCCACTGCTGGGATCGATAATTTTATCCTTCCAGAAGAGGTGTTTGACCTTGAGGGTCTGCCCCGATGCGAATGAGCAGGTCATCCCTAATGCCCACTTCAGACGGGCGCCGCCTGCGGCACACACGTGCCCAGGACCCCTGCATGGTGCGGAACAGTCTGGAAATCACTGTAACTGCCCTGTAGCTCCAACACGTGTCTGTGCTTGCCAAAAATCAAACCCAAACAAATAGTGAATAAGGAAGCCCCCTCATCCAACTGAAAACCAGTGGAGAAACTACTTGATGTTAGACACAAAGCTTCAGTTTGGAGGCAGGAGTAAGACCCCCTTTCCTTGTAGAAGGGAGCAGCCTCCTGGCTGATTGTCAGCCAGCTCCCATTCTGCATACTTGGACTCCCTCCCACTAGCATTAGAATAACGAACCCAGATTTCTCCAGAGAAGTGCAAATTCCTAAAAATGGGTGAAGGGCAAGGGAAGGTGCCAGGGGTGGGCAGACCCAGACAGGGGGGTCCCACCTGAGCTGCCCGGCCCCTGCAGCCTGTCTAAAGAAGGAGGCTTTGCCCCCAGGGACTTGTGTTGTTCTGGGTATTGCCCTGCAAACCCAGAATTTTAGAATTATCTCATATGTAACAAAGATAAAAATGACTGTGCTTCTTGGAAGGTATTTAGTTTTTTAATTTCTGCTAATATCCTCTGGTGCAACATATATTTTGCTTACCAGTTTTTTTATGCTGAAAACGAGAAAAAACCGGCAAGATATTTTTTTTAACCTGGAAATTGTAAATATTCAAACTTTGAATAAATTCTGTTTTCACAGTATAATTAATGGATTTGCCTTACCACTAAAAGAAGAGCACAAGATTTTCTTACTGAAGGTGTTGCTACCTTTGCACAAAGTGAAATCTCTGAGTGTCTACCATCCACAGGTAAGGGGTGCCCAACAGTGACGCGTAGGTGGGGGTGCACACCGGCACGGGGTCCCTGCGTGAACGTTGCTGCGCCCGAGACACACGAATCCAGCCTGTTACCTGGGAGTGCGCTCTTTGTTACGTCGCATTGCCAGTATTGGTTCTGGTGATGACTGAAAGGACACATGGGTCAAGAGATTCCCTTTTAAGAAAATCAGAAACATCTCAGGAATGGAGAATTTCAGAATTCATTCTAAGCACAGAGAAGGGAGTGGGTGACAGGCGTCAAGGGAACTTCTCAGAGGAAGTCACCCCCGTCCTGCAGGTCCTCCTATCAGGAGTGGTGGTGCGGGATCAGTCCCAGGAAGTGTATTCTTGACATGATTCTAAGCACTTTGGCTTCCTGGGAAGTATTTTACTTCGAGGTTTTTTGTTTGTTTGTTTTTTCTTCCTCCTGCTGTTGCTTTACCTCCAGCCAGATTGTTACCCTGTTGATCGTTCTACAGAAGAGATTAATAGTTCAGTGTTTTAAGGTGGAACCAGATTTTAATTTGGTTTTTTCGAGCTGTTAGAGTCCTTGTTGATTACAGTCTCCAGAAAGAGCGTGAGAAAAATCCCCATCAAACCTGGGCTGACTTGTCGATGTTAGTCCGAAAGACTGTTTCCTGATTTTTTTTTTTTTTTTTTGGCTCTCTGCCGCACCCTGTCCCTGAGAGTTACCCGCCCCCCGCCCCGAGAGCCGGCAGGCCCGTGCAGGGGAGCCCCTGCCCGCCCCGGGGGGGCCACACCAAGGGGGTGGGGGCAGCGTTGCTGTGTTGAAGCAAGACACTAATACGTCCCCTCCTGTACTTTGCAGCTGGCGTACTGTGTAGTCCAGTTTTTAGAAAAGGACAGCACCCTCACTGAGCCAGTAAGTATGCTCTCTGGCTGGGGCCTTGGTCCGGGTGCCGGCGCGCCCGTGATGTGGCGTGGGGGCATCCCCAAATGTCAGTGTCACCATGGCTCTGCTGGCCAGGTAGCTGCTCGGACCACTTTTTCCCCGGAAGTCACACTGCTAAACACGCTGATTTCCCTGCCGTGCTGTGTGTTTTCAGAGTGTGGTGACTTTGTTACGAGTTCCTTTACTGCGGTGAGGATGATTTCATGTGCTTAGATTGCCGTCTAGTCTGAGCTGGACCTTAGTCCTCTGAACATGAGGCGCTGGCATGGGCAAGGCCGCTGGATTGTGCGCCGTTGAGCACTTCCCCATCTTGGTTTAAGGATGCACAGCTGCCTTCGGTCCTACCGGTTGTAGTGAGTTCTCGAAATGCTTGGGCTGGAGAGGTTCTGTGAGCTGCGACGTTCCTTCCAGGTTCCGGGGTAGCTGCTCCGTGATCACTGCGTCACCAGCGCCAGGTGGCTGCCCTTGAGCGTGTAGATTTCCAGATTTCTTGGCCGGTTATCTTGCCCACAAATGAAGGACTGCCATAGCCTGGACTACCCAAGATGAGCCTGTCAGGGGCGGTTTAAGCGTTTGAACACACTTTTTTAAATAGCTTTATTGAGATATAATTCACATACCATACACTTCACCCATTTAAAATGTACAATTCAGTGGCTTTTTGGTATATTACGTCATTGATTTTTTTAATTGTACTACAGTACATGCAGCATAGAATTTGCCGTTTTCACTGTACAAGCGAGTGGCCTTAATTACATCCCAGTGCAGCTGGTTGCCACTGTCCTCAGAACTTTGTTGTCGCCCCAGCAGAAGCTCTGCCCCCCAAAACACCGACTCCCGCTTCCCCTCCCCCCCCCACCGGTTCCCCGTGACCTCTCACCTGCTTTCTGTCTCCACGAGTTGGCCTCGTCCGGGCGCCTCACGTGGGTGGGGTCGTGGCAGTTGTCGTCAGGGCTCCGACACGCCGTGCCCATGTCAGAACTCCATCCCCGGTGTGGCTGGATAGACCCCCTTGTGTTTTGTTCATCCGCTCCTCTGTCGGTGGGCGCCGGGGTCGCTGTGAACGCGGGTGTGCAGCGCTCTGCGCAAGTCCCCGCTCTCGGTCCCATTGATTGTTCAGCTTGGGGCGAAAATGCTGGGTCAGCTGGTGATCCTGTGTTTAGCTTTGGGAGGAGCTGCCCCACTGTTGTCCGCTCTCTCTGCATCCTCGCCGACACTCGGTGTTGTCCCTTTTTTTTTTTTACCCCAGCCATCTAGTGAGTGTGCAGTGGCGTCTTTCGGTGGCTTTTTGGTTTGCATTTCCCTCACAGCTGAAGATGTTGGGCATCTCTTCAAACACCTGTTGGCCACCTGTCTGTGGACAAACGTCTTCAAATCCACTGCCCATTCTTTATCAAGTGGGTTGTTTTTTACTGTTCGGTAGCAAAGTAAGAAGTACTGAGTGCCAGTTGCAGTGTTTGAGTATTCTTTTCACAGTTACTGTTGGGGTAGAAAAGGCAGATGTCATCGTTGCGGCATCTTCTCTGTCCCCGTGGCCCCTCCACGGCAGTCCCGTGAGGTCATGAGTGTTACAGTGGAAATACGTGGGAAATCCTTAGTGCTCTGTTTCTTGGCTACACCGGCTCCTGATCTCTGCCTTCTTCAGAGCTTCTGAGCCCCGTGCATAGTCACCCACCAACTCAGGGAAAGCCCTCCAGCACGTCCCCGGGGCCCCTGCACGCCTCTGCCTCAGCTCCGTCTGAGATTCTGGAAGCCCCCAGGGAAAGACGCCAGACTTACCAGACTTTAGTATCAAACCCCGAGTGTTGACTCCCGATCAGGGTAGGGTTATTCTTACCCCCTTGACTAAACCGAAGACGTGTCTCTGGGGGGAAGGACACGTGAGGTGGCCCCAGCGATCAAGCCTCTTCTCCAGTGGTGCCACGTCCTCAGTCCCTCTGTGTTGAGGGGCGGCTCCCCACTAACGGCTGGTGACCGTTACCAAAGACATAGTATGGGAACAAATTCTGACACACACCTTGCCTTTTCTACCTCAAAAATAAGAAGGGAAAGAAAAACATGAAAGGAGAGAAAAAGCATGCACTTTTCTTCTATGACTTTTCTCTGTGTGTATTTCTCACACTCTCCAGGGGCTAAAGAATCCACGAATCGTTGCGCCGCGTTCACCACGGGCCAGGCCCCCGCCGTAGTGCCCCGGTCCCCAGCCAGGTCTGCCACAGCCCGAGTCCTTCCTAATCCTGCCCCAGCGCACCTCTGTTCTCTCCTTCCCCTGAGACTGACGTGAAAGCTGACAGTGGTTGGCGGGAGCGGGAGCCCTTGGCTGCGGTTGTATGACGGAAGGAGAGGGGCGGCCACTGGCTTCCGCTGGGTCCCTCCGTCGTAGATCGGAAGCTCGGAGTTGGCACAGAGAAGCTTCAGGCCCCCACACACCCAGGCCCCAGGATTGCCACCCAGATCCGCTTTGTTCCCTAATCTCCTGCAGCACAGACAACATACTAGTACTCTCTGGACCACAGGGAGCAGATTTTGTTTTCTGCACTTCAAAAACGTGCAGACCCTCACCTCGGTGAACTCCTTTCTTTGAAATTCCCGTAATATTTCAGCACTGAAAGCTTGTCGACAATAAGGTGAATGGGGTAAAGGCTTGTGAAGGTGTGCGTCCACTCGGCAGCACTGAGAAGAACACGGCACCCGCGGGGGTCTCCGGGTCCTGGACCCAAGGCTCTCCTGAAGTCAGTGTGGCCAAGGTCAGGAATGTTTAAAGTACGATCCGTTCAAAAGACCTGCGTCCCTCCTGTTCAAGGTCTGCAATTAATACTTTTACTTGTAAACTGTGTACAGTGCTCAGAAACTTTCTTGAACACGTAACGCTACTGTTGTACGAAGAATAGGAGCTCATCAGATTGCGGGTGGGAAGTAAAATCAAGTTGCCACTTGCCTGTTTCTTGAGGATAATCGACTTTTACTACAGGGCCCGGTGGGAACCCTCTTACACCTCCTTGGTGTGTCGGGAGGGGCTCGCCTGTGCTCCCCAGCCCTGTCCAGAGAGCGGCAGCTCTCGTGTGGAGGAGAGCTCAGCGTGTGACCCGCGCCCAGCAGCACACAGCCACTTTTGCCTAGATTAGCTTTACCAGGCAGCCCCCTCTCTTGCAAGATGCTGCCGCACTCTGAGCCCATGGTATTGACCATAGCTCGCTCCAAATAGTGTGATACCTTGGTCCGGCGTGGGGCTCCGATTCCAGAAGTAAAACCTCTTCCAGAGGCATTGAATAGCTAAACCAGTTGTGCTTTGTATCTCACATGCTAATGTATTTTTCCTAATAAAGTACCATTTGCCGAAATGGCAAGGAAGAGGGCGTTTGTGAAGTGATTGGCGTCCGCTGCGGCCCCGCACTGGGGAGCGTAGTAGGTGCTCACTAAATGTCTGTTCGGTGGTTTTGATCGAAAAGTAGGACAAAAATCATTAAATGCTAGATTTTTTAGGGAAATCCTTTTAGAGATAATCATGTTGTAAAGTTTTACATCAGACTCCAAAACTAGGAGCACTGTCTTTTTTATAAATGTTGGAGTTTTATAAAGCGTAATATCATGAAAGATCATCCCGGAGCCTGAAGGCCGAAAGCATCGAGCAGAGTTGTTTGTTCGGAACGGATGTTGTTCAAAAACCTGCGGTGTTTTTAACCACAGTCAGGATGTCACCTGGCCTGCCGGGCGGTCGGGCGCTGTCTGCAGGGCTGTGGAGGCCTCCCGCCAGCCCAGAAAAGCTGGCGCTTGCCGTGATGGCTAGGGGCTGGGACAGTGGTTCCTGAAATGGCCGCGATGGGCCTCGGCCGTGCGTGTGCAGGCGTGCACGTTTGTTTCTTGGCTACACCGGCTCCTGATCTCTGCCTTCTTCAGAGCTTCTGAGCCCCGTGCATAGTCACCCACCAACTCAGGGAAAGCCCTCCAGCACGTCCCCGGGGCCCCTGCACGCCTCTGCCTCAGCTCCGTCTGAGATTCTGGAAGCCCCCAGGGCTTCCAGATGTTGTGGGCCCTTGTACTCTTTTAGAATGAAGTCAGCTAAACTCTAGAAATGTTACTAACCCTCACCGAGCTGAATCTGATACTCTGGGAACGATCTTTACTGGTGTGGTTGTGGTAGGAAATTTGGAAACTATAGGGGTGAGATAAAGAAAGGTTGCCCCGCAGAAACCCTTTCTACCTGTCTGACTTGGGCAAGGAAGGTAGCGTCCAGTCGCCAGGAAGGAGGAAGGCGCCGCCGACCGGCCGAACATGCCTCGCGGGCGCGGGTGGCACAGATGCTCTGTGGCGGGGTCCCACGGGCCAGCACCCCTCAGAGGCAAGGTCCTCCCAGCCTCCGAGGCAGTTACCAGCCCAGGGTCACAGGTCATGTGCACAGAAGGCAGCAGGGCCCGACCCCAGGTCCCTCTGCAGCCCCGCGCGGCGTGAGCCAACAACATCAGCTTATTTCATGTCTCCCTCTTCTGATTTATCTTAGCACAATCGAAAACACCACGTGTACGCACACAGTATGCACTTTTGTGTAGAAATATGTATGAACAACCGTTAGTTTGAGATAGAAACAGATTGTGCATATGTGCGACTTGCAGCCTCAGAGCAGACCGCTCCTGCACAGAAACGAATATACGGATTCATACGCCCCATGTTTCTCCATTATTCTTTTTCTCTCTCAACCCTCCTAACTGCTTATTTTTTATCTTCTTTTTTTTCTAAAGGGACTGACTGCAGTGGTGGTTAATCAGAGGGAGTGGGTCACATTAAAGTGGTGATTCTTAAGTATATAAAATTAGATCCGTTTCTCTGATTCTAAAAAGCCCACATGCTGATTTACGGCGTGTCTCTTCTTTCTACAAGGAAGGAAGCACCCTGATTCTGTTGCTTTGCTTGGGGGACACGTCAATGAAACACAGACGGGCGTCACGCTGTGTGTTTTTTCTCTGGCAGGTGGTGATGGCGCTTCTCAAATACTGGCCAAAGACTCACAGTCCAAAAGAAGTCATGTTCTTAAATGAATTAGAAGAGATCTTAGACGTGATTGAACCGTCGGAATTTGTGAAGATCATGGAGCCGCTCTTCCGGCAGCTGGCCAAATGTGTGTCCAGCCCACACTTCCAGGTACGGAGGGCAGAGAGAGAATGGCCTCGTTTGGAGTCCCCGTCGGAGGTGACCAGCTTCAGTGCGTCGCTGTCACACTGTGCTTGTCGTGTGGTTTGAAAGGAGATGGCCAGTTTAGTCGTACTTCAAAATAAGATGCTAAGACGCTAATTCTGTGAAACAGTTGAGCATCTCGAGCGCATCACTGAACACCTGTTTCTCACTAAGAGTAATTAGAACTGGCTCCCCTGTAAAGCCTTCTTTGTATTTTTGTTCGGTGTGCCCCAAATGCATAAAACCTCGCTTTCCGCAACTGAGTGACGGACACTTGTAGACAAACTGTTCAGCCCTGAAACTCCCCATCCACAAGCACTTGTTCCTGATACATACACATTCCAACTTTTATCCCCCCCACCCAAATCCTGTGTGAGGGGGGCCTCGGTCACATGCCACTCTCCTCTCCTGGGCTTCTCATTCAGCCTCGTTCAGGGGTCGTCCCCAGGACCTTGGTTCAGCCCGTCTGCCTCCCTTGGACGTGCTGGCGTGTACCGTGAGCTCACCCCGAGCAAGGTGACCCCTCTCTTGGCCCCCTTCCGTGCTGCTGTCTGCCACGTGGACTTTCACTTCTGGGGAATTAATTCTCCTATCATTTGTCTCCCCCGCTAAAACATAAGCTCCACGAAGGCAGGAGTTCTGCCTCACCTCGTCCACTCTTGACACCTCGGCACCTCCTGGACCCGCGACGGAGCGGGTGGGCGGAAAGAGCATGTTTGGCCTGTGTCCTCTGCATGGAGCCCAGGGCGCACCTAAATATTTCTTGAATGAGTGGAGAAATGAGGAGTGTGTTCATGATGGGCAAGAAAGCATCTGCCCTTTTGTCGAGGGCTCTTCAGGATGACGGTTTCGAGTGTGCTGGATCTATGGAGATGATTGGCTGACCCAGTATAATTCATCACCTCCACAGGCAGTCGTGGAGAGAGGGTCCTGCTGAGTGAGTATTTGTCATCACGGTCACAACATTGTGCCCTCTCTCTTCCAGGTGGCGGAGCGAGCACTGTATTACTGGAACAATGAGTACATCATGAGCCTGATCAGCGACAATGCAGCAAAGATCCTACCCATCATGTTTCCTTCCTTGTACCGCAACTCCAAGACCCACTGGAACAAGTAAGAAAGGGGGCTCCTGGGTGGCTCAGTCGGTTAAGTGTCTGCCTTCGGCTCAGGTCATGATCCCAGGGTTCTGGGATCGAGCCCCGCATCAGGCTCCCTGCTCAGCGGGAAGCCTGTTTCTCCCTCTCCCTCTGCTGCTCCCCCTGCTTGTGCTCTCTCTGTCAAATAAAATTTTTTAAAAACTTAAAAAAAAAAAAAAAAGAACAGAAAGACCTGGCTGTCCAGTGGGGCATTTGAAATTTCCTGTATCTCAGTGAAACTTAATTAGGATTGAAATCCAAGTCCAGAATATCAGTTTAAAAAGGAAATGTTGATTTCTTCGTGGGCTTACAATTAGGATGAAGTGTGGGTTGTATCTGTGGCCTTTTATTTGCCTCCTCACCCCCATTTCAAGCCAATACGGAGGTACGTTGGTTGGCGCCCACTCTGCCTGGCTGCAGCAGCAGCAGTGCCTTCCAGGCCTCATCTCAGATCCCCTCCAGATGGGCTGAAGGTCGCTGCAGAGCTCGCGGAGCTCAGTCCCTGCAGGAGCATGGTGGCCACCCCATTCTCGGGGGCCCTGCACCCTCAACCAAGAAAATTAACATTAACATACAGAAGCACTCTGCAGTGACCTTCACCTTGTTGAGAAGGTGAATGCAGGTGCAGTCAAGGTACAGAAAGTCCCTGGCCCCTGACAGGCATCTGGCGAGTGTTCGCCATCAGCACGCGGCTGTGGGGGTCACTGGGGCGCTCCTGGCACCGCCCAGCAGACCTCATCAGTGTATCGACTGTCAGCAGCCTTTTCTGGGGCACATTCATTTTTTATTACGCGCAGCAGGTGGTAACAAAGGCCTCAGAGCTCAGCCACCGTCCCGTGTGTCATATAGTACGGGGCAAGAACAGCCGTGACTGCTCCCTGTTGCAGAGAGAAGTGTTACTCCCAAGTGTTTCCAAACACGAGTTGGGTTCTGTCATGAAGTGAGTTAAGAAGTCGCTGTGAATCTACGTCAGCAAAAACAGCAGTAGTCCTGGCAGCCATGAGAGCAGTTTTGGGGTGAGAGTGGAGTTTTTCTGCGGCTGCTGGCAAGGCCGTGGGCTGCCCGGGCTCTGCGGTGCGGTCCTGCCGCCTGTCTCACCGGGGGTCCCATGTGGCTGTCGCCTGATGGCAGGTGGGACTGGCGTCCTCTTCAGGCTCCACTGGGCCCTGGAGCAGCTGTGCCTCCCCCCTCATGGATGTCAGAGCCAGGAAGCGGAGTTTCATTAAGTCATTCCGTGGTGATTTTATTTTCTGCCTTCCTTCCAGGGCTCTGTTTTGGCATTATCAAAAACTTTCCTGCCCTTAATTAAAAAGATGAAAAGGAAACTGACGTTTATAGGAAGTAAAATGTTTCCATTATTGTCCCCTACACATTGCTGTTTGTCTGAATTCTATTTTTTCAAGTGTCAACGTTTTTTATTCCATTTCCACGGAAGGTGGCTTTTGGCTGCTGTCAGCCAGGACAGAAAGCGAGGGCCAGTCAGGTGCGCCTCGCAGGCTGCGTGGACGCGGATGCATCCAGAGTACCAGGCTTTGGTTGGAAAGCCCAGGGGTGTGAGACGTAGGGCCGCGACAGTAGCTGGAGGGCTAGGGGGCAGGGGCTGTGGCTGAGGAGGGCAGGGGGGTGCACAGAAAGGTGGAGGGTTCAGAACCTGAACACCAAGGTCTACTTACAGGACAATACACGGCTTGATCTACAACGCGCTGAAGCTCTTCATGGAGATGAACCAGAAACTGTTTGACGACTGCACCCAGCAGTTTAAAGCAGAGAAACTGAAGTAAGTTGCTCCTCTCAAAAGCTACTCTTCCAAGGATTTTGTCATCCTCAGTCCTGAATAAACCTCTTGCAGGGGTGTGTCCTAAAACATTCTTCACTTTAAAGCAAAATCAGTTCTGTCATACTCGAAAAACAAATGAAAATGTTTGTGACATTAACTTGTTTTCAGAGAACATCGCTGTTCTCTCCATTATGCTACTAGTTTAATCACTTCTGCAGAACGGTGTGCAGTCAAGAATTTAACTTCCCCGAGGAACACCGAGAGTTTGAAGGTACAGGAACTTCTCAGGTTTATAAGGCAGGAATTTGAATTCTGTCCCATGAGGTTTACGTGAAGGGGCAAGCATCTTCACCTCAACATAGTTTTAGCCCACTTAACGCGGACCTTCCCAGGAGCCTAGCCAGTGTCCTTCACAAAATCAGGGCCCTGCTCTCACGCTCAAGGAAGGTGTCACAGTCAAGTCTGGGCTCTGGGCAGATTTTCTTGTTTGCTTGTCACTTGAAGCTGGCTAAGAGAGATAAACTTTGAACGAGTGTAATTCGAATTATGGGACATACATAACCGGCTGTCCTGTGCACACTTTAAACAGCACGTATGCATTGACCCGTACGTCAGGCCCTGTTGTAGGTTCTGACCGCACAGCAGTGAATATAACAAAAATCCCTGCCCTCGCGGGTGGTGTGGAAAGGAAAGACAGACATACACGTGAGGGAGACACACCGTGTTCGAGGTGTGGGCTGCAAGGCAGGGAAGGGGCCCAGGGTCACATGCGTGTGGAGCCTCCTGGGCTCCCGATCTCAGGCCCGTGCTCCCTCAGAGCTGAGCACCAGGTTCACCTGTGCCTTCCGCCTTTCTCAAGGTGAATAGCTTAGCTTTCTGAAAAAGATCTTAAAGATCATGCGGCACATTCTCCGGATTTAAAAAAAAAAAAAAAAAGTTGGGTCCCGGTGAAGGGATTTACAGAAGGTCGCCTGACTCACTAGCAGTGGGATCTGATGAGAACCAGGTCTGAAGACTTCCTTTTTAAAGCTGTCCTTGTTGGGATGTCAGCCCTTAATCTCAGTTCCCATATGCCATGGAATGGTCTCACTTTTCACGGCTCCATAAGCTTGTCTTCAGAGTTATCCAGGTTCTCCGAAGAAGCAGCTAAAGCAGGGAGGACGCAGACCTGAGATAACTCAAATAAGTGCTCCTAGGAACCTGCAGTCTTCCGCATGTTCTTCTTGTAGCGTGTTTGTTAAATCTTTTCCTTTAAGTCTGGCTTGTTTTTCTTATTTCATTTTCCGTGTCACATCCTGTTGTGCTCACCGCTGTGAAGCTTGCGGAGTAAGACCAGAAGTGACAGAGGAGAGTAGGTGACTGTTGCTGGTCATGCCAGTTTTGCCTCTCTCCTTCCCTTGTGTGTGACCCATGTCTCTAATACCTGTGACATTTTACTATTTTTCAGAGAGAAGCTAAAAATGAAAGAACGAGAAGAAGCGTGGGTTAAAATAGAAAATCTAGCCAAAGCAAACCCCCAGGTACTAAAAAGAGTAACATGAAAACGTCTAGGGTGTTACTTGAATGTTTTTATGAGCTAGAAATGGGGCTTCCTCACGGGGTGGGCGGGGGGCGGTCTCACGACCTTGTATCTGGAAATGTCTGCAATAAAAGTACTTCTCGACTTTTGTACAACTGATTTTTGCCCCGCAAAGTTTTTACCACAGAATTGACCTTTTTTTCCCCTCCGCTTTTTCACTAAGATCTAAATCTTATCAATAGACTGTGGTAAAAAGAAAACCAGGGTACAGCCTCTATTTGGGGGCCAAGACTGCAGTTTGCTCTCTCCCCGCAAATGTCACAGACGCTGTCGCTGAAACGATACGTTCCTTTCTTTTTAATTACCAAAATCATTCGAAAAGAAAAACGGTGAGATTTGAAATAGATGAAGTACGAAGTTGGGTATCCTTTTTCCTAAAACCAGGGTCCTGTAGGCTGAGCCTTCAATTGTTAAAAATTGCCCGACTTCTGTCATGTTGGCCACTGAGCCTGTCTCCCGTCCTCGCTAGAAGGCTGCAGTGTGCTCGGGCATGCAGGCGCACGTGCCGTGTCTGCCACAGCCACCTGCAGGGGAAGCGGCATCCCGCATAGCGCCCACCATGGGGCCGGCATCCAAGGCTTCTGAGCTGGGTGGTCTTTGGTGTTCTGTCCGCTGGTCCAGATGGACCGGAGCGCTGTCCGGGCAGGTGCTCCTCCTGGTTCGGGGCCTGAGAATCCCTGGGGTGTGTCTTCGCCACCGGCACTGTCCCCAGGCTGTCCTCAGCCTCCCAGAAAAGACAAGACAGTACTTTATGAGAACCACAGAGCTACCCTTAAAATCCTAAAGGGTTCGTTCAGATGAACTGGATTACAAGCAGTCTGTTTTCTTGGGTGAGAGGCGTGCATAAATCGTTCACTGAGTGTATTATGCTGGTTTTTCAGTCTGACATTTCCTAAAAAGTGACACATGAACACAAGATTTAGACGCATGTGTTTGATCTGTGTAATGTATTGATTGCATTCCCCTGGATAAAACCACATTCAGGAAACTTAAACCTTCGGAAAATGGAATGACTCTCTTAAGTGAGGTCTCGGTCCCCACGTGGAACAACCCGGCAGCGTCCCCCTTACAGCGTCTGTTCTGTGCTCTTCACAGAAACGCCGTTGTAAGGTGACCGTGACCCCGTGAGTGCCCTGTGCAGGTAGACAACTCCCAGGACCTGCTGTAAGGAACAGAATGTGAGGTGAAAATACTGACATTTGTTTTTAAGACACAGGAACAGCAGAAATCTGGGGCAGGTGGGGGCAGAGGGGCCCTGCCTGACGGCCGCGGGAGAGGCTGGCGGAGACCCTGCCCCACGTGCACGCAAAATCACGGGAAATACACACAACTCAGAGAGCCTGCTTGTATCTGTTTTGCCAAGAATATAGAAGCCGTCTCATGAAAACCCGCACAAAGCTTTCCTGTTACAGACGGGAAAGAGCTGGTTGGTTGTGTAACAAGCGTGGCCTGGTTTCACTGCTGTGCGGTAACAGGTGTCCCTTCTGAAATAGACACTGTTCTCATTTCCCTTTTTCTGAGCTTCTCCTGAGTTTTCCTACACAACGTTTTTACTCCTCTGGGCTGCTCTCTGTGGTGTCCCAGGCGGGCGACAGCAAACACGCCCGGGCTCTGCCTGCACTCACTGGGCGCTGGGCTGACCGTCTCCCTGTTGAACCGTGTGTGAGTCAACCCCCGTGAGTCCTCTCTGCATGCGCAGTCCCCGGTGCAGTGTCTCCCAAAGGAAAATACTTCATGGCCTAATAATGTCTCAGAGCTGAAAAGCAAGGACTCGGGACTTGGTTTTCACCTGAGAGAGAGGGAATCTTTTCTAAATTCCAGTCACTGCTTGCCATTTATAACAACGACACCAGAAAGTAAATAATTGTGTGGACAGTACAGCCTGTTTCTTGTCTCCATCATGAAAACAGTGGGGTCTTTCGAGCGTGGCTCTCCATCTCAGATCTGCCCCCTGACCTGTATCTGGAAGTCTCCCCGAGGCCCCTGCTCAGCCTTGGGCGTGTGCCATCTGTTGCGCTGGGCTTGGGGAGTCGGCGGCGCCTCCAGAATTTTCAGTAGTGTTTGTCGTAACGGTTGTGGCAGCTCCATTGGCGTTTTTTAAGGTCACGCAGGGTTTAATTTGTTTAAGTCATGGAATATTGAGGATTTCTAACATAAATGTGTTTTCCTAGTCCACCAAAGGGGCCAGGGAGCATTTCGCTGCTTACTTCTCCCTGACTTGGGTCGGAATTGTGGGACATGAAGACAGGCCCTTCTGTGAACCTTGGGCTCGGGGGAGGCCCGGGACACGGGGCCCAGCTGGCCGCTTTCCTTTGAGAGGTGGGCTCCTCTGGGTGACATGTGTGTGCCTTTACCCTGCTGTGGACTCCAGCCTCGGCAGAGGGTTTTATCCCCAGCAAGAATCCGCTCCCGCCGCTGCCTGCGGTGCGGCTCACACCCCACCGGACCGTTTTGTAGCATTCTTGTTCGCTCTTCCCTTTGGCCTGAGTCCCGGGGACAGCTGTGAGCCCCACGCTGCTCTTGGCATGGGCCTGATGAGTCGTGCGGTCACTTGCGCGTCTGTGAGCCCCTGGGGGCGCGGGGCGGAGCAGGCAGCCGCTCCACTTGGCGGATGGGCACCAGCTGGGTGTCCCGAATCAGGGAACTTCCCCGAGATACAAAGATGAGAACAGGACACAGCTCCAAGGAGCTTAGGGATCCATGAGCGGAGCTAGACGGAGGCAAAGAGAATTCATTTCAGACGGTGAGATTATAGCACACCCCGGACGCAGAAAGCCACGCTGTGCGATGGCCGCCGTCGAGGTGTCCCCCGCACGAGACTTGGAGGGGAAGTCTGAGCTACCCAGTCTGAATCTGGGGAAGGTCCTCGAGGAAGGAGACGGAGTTGTTGAGCACAGGTGGACTGGTAGCCATGGAGGAGGGGCTGGGTGAGGTCCGTACCTGGGACGCAGCTGGAGAGAGGACGAGTGTGGGTTTTCAACCCCAAGAACGGGTGCAGGTGTTAGGTGCAGGTGTCAGTGTCCTGAAGGGCAAAGTGGCCCAGTCAGGCCTGCATCCCAGAAAGTTCCTTCTGGCAGCGATACGTTTGGTGTCCTGGAAGGGGCTCTCAGGGTGTGTGGCGGTGGTGGCGTTGGTCAGAGTGGTGGGCAGAGGGCCCTGAGGCACCTGGGCGCCCAGTGGCATGGGAAGGAAGGAGCCGGCCGGGCCGAGGCTCCACGGCCACGGGCTTGTAGCTGGCAACCGAGCTGTTGGACCGAAGCAGGTCGCAGAGTTTGGCTAGAGGGCCGAGATGCCACGGGTGTGGACGAAGGGGTGGGATTGATAACAGGGTTTCAGCGAGTTAGAGCGAGGGGTGAAGGAGTGAGGTCGGCAGCTGTGCGCAGCCTGGGAGGCGGGGGGAGGCTGTGAGTGTGAAGCAGTCCAGGTGAGCACGTGGATTCAGGTGCCAAGGCTGCCAGGCGGGGTGCCGCCGCACCGGCCCTCGGGCCCCAGGGACCAGGGAGGCCTTGGAGGGGATGCTGGAGCCTGCGTCACGCTCCCACCTGGTGCCACTGGGCCTAGAAGGGCCTAGAAGAGTAGAAGTGTTCTGGTTTCTGAGGCGCTGCAGGTATAGGCTGGTTTAATTGCCACCCAACGGGCTTCATTCGGGAGAGGGCCCTGGGGAGGGCGCCAGTGGGAAAACATGCCCCTGGCCAGGTTGAGAGACCCTTGCAGCTCAGAACCTGAGCACCAACAGAGAGTGATTCCGCACTTTGCATTGCAGTACGCAGTGCATAGTCAGGTGAGCGCCGTGGCCATTCCGGTTGCAGTGGAGACGGATGGGCCTCTACTTGAAGATGTGCAGACGCTGAGAAAGGCCCGGAACGAAGAGGCTCGCCAGGTAAAAGTGCACAGAGCTAAGCCGGGACGCGCCCGTGCTAGATTTGCATAAGAAACGCGTAGAATTTTAGGAGGTGATGTGATCTACGTCAGTGCCTTCTGTGCAAGCTCAAGCTAAAAACTAAGTTGGGGTAAGCTCACGGGAGGTACTTTGTCCACGCATCTCAGTGAGTAAACTACTAGAAATCATTTTAAATCTGAGATTGAAGTATTTTCTTCATTTGTATTAACAGTAACAATCTCAGCTCCTGACCGTCCCTTGAATGTTATTAACCTGACCAAAAAAACCACACCCTTCGAAGAGCGGAAAGGGGCGTCTCCCACTCGTGCTCTGGCACAGGGTCCCCTGCCCACTGCCCACAGCAGTCCCCGGGCCCTGGTCCTCCCCCTGACGGCAGAACCACACTGGCTTTTGCATGAAGGGTCAGGAGCTGGGGACCCCCGAAGGCTGGGGCCTTTGTCGGGTTAACACCTGTGCTCGGGTGGTTTGTCCCCACGGTGGTGGAGATACATTTTCAGATCCCCGCTGATCCAGAGACAGACTCTCATTACTAAATTGGGAATATATACAACTTAGGCTTTAAAGAGGGAGATGTCCTGCCTGTGCGTTGAGGAGCCTTTCGCAGGCTGTGTTTCTCCGAGCGGGCCTGCCACTCTTCAGTCCATGGAAACTGGTGCAGGCTTGACCGGGTTGGGGGGGGTGGGGGGGCGGGCAGGGGCCTTTCTGACTTGACACCTTAAGCCCCTGCGGCCTGCTTGAGAGCCAACAACACCCAGCGCCGAGATGCTGAAGTGCGAAAGGTCAGTGGCTAGACTCTGCTGTGCTGGATGCAGGTGGTTTACCAATGCTCTTGTCATTTGGAACTCGCTTAAGCAGAGGTTTTAATTCAAGTAAATTTCACTCCCCACCTGATCAGACGGGCTCGGGGCCTCCACCACCCAGACTGCACTGGCCCGACTGCAGCCCCAAGCCCCACAGGGCTGCTGAGCACTCAGTGTGGCCATCCTCACTGAGCTGTGCTGTGCTAACCGTCTACAGCACGGGAATCCCTGGGCTCGACGGGAAGAAGCGAATGCAAAACTATCTCATTCGTAACTTTTTACTATCGATTGTATGCTGAAATGTTAGCATTTTGGATATATTGGGTTAAATTTAAAAACGCTATTAAAATTAATTTCACCTATTGCTTTTTACTCTTTTAATGTGGCTACCAGGGCATTTGGAGTCCCATGCTTGGAACATGTTATTTTTCGATTGGACAGCACTGGTCCAGACTCCTTTTTCACAGAGCTGCCCGAAGAGGGCAGCTGCGCTGACCACATGCGTGCCCCTTCTTGCCCGGCCAGCTCCCAGCCTTAGCGTAAGATCAAAACTTGAAAATACCAGAAATACAGTGAAGAGACTGTGTGACTGTGTCATGCTCCTAGTGAATGTCAGTAACTTATTTTTACTTAGTTCACTTGGATTCCATAATTGTTAGCAGTGAACAGATTTAATAAAGAACCCAAAAATCCTTCCATTTTTCCCTGTCCTGGCCGGGGGGGGGGGGGGCTGGCTTTAATTTCCCTACTTCATTTTTTTTTTTTAACTGGGACAGGAATTTGAGGTCATTTTTTAAATTGCCATTTTGTGATTTTTACGGCTTCAAGCGCACTAAAGCCGTGAGAGCTCGCCCAGGCCGTACAGACACAGAGGATATCAAATCAGCACCCCTCGTACCAGAAGGCCTGCCCGGGAACCTGGGACCACATCAGCTTTTAAGTCACGTAGACCCTTCAGCGATGGATAGGAAACTGATGGTTTACAAGCCAGTTCATACGCGTTAAATATTTGGGGTTTGGAGTTTTGGGGGGGGGTTTTGGCCCATTCTTGGGTCCAGTGCAGGTCATAATGAACACTAGGAAAAGAGTAACCCAAGTCCAAAATGGAATGAACACACAAATTATTGTCCTGTTTATGATTTAGGGTGACTCTACGAGGACTCAGATATTTGATCAAGAAGGCAAACCAAAATAGCATTCTCATCTTGAGCGGAAAACTGCCTCTGAAAGTCGGCCCGAGGATTTAGGTGATAGCCGGTCCCTAGAAAACGCCCCCCTGGTTTATCTATCCGCTGCCCTTAGCGCAGGGCGTATGTCCTTCGCTATAACGTGAAGCGGTCAGTCTCTACTCATCCACTCACTTGGTTCTGAGTGACGGGAGGCAGACAGGGCATTTCCTGCAGAACTCCTGTAGCCCGTTTGTTTGCATGACTCTTGCAAAAGGGGTAACTAACTTTTCTGCATAATTATTCCCCCACTCTTACCTCTTAGATCTCTATGATCACGCAGACCTGGCGTTTAAATACCAATTCTTCCCAAGTTAATGCAATCTCAGAATCCCAGCATACTTTTTTTTTTTAATGACATACGGATTCTAAAATTCATAGGGCAGCACAAAGGACCCAGAATAGCCAAACAACTTCAAAAAAGAATAAAACTAGACTAATACTACCCAATTTTAGGACTTGTTATAGATTTCTATGGATCAATTGTACACCCCCCCCATTTCAACCCAACTAGGTGAAGATATTTATAGTGCAGTCTTTTCAGTATAATATTTGATATAATAGACTCTCCTGAATTTGAAAAATGTTGGGGTCCTGTATTCCTGAAATTTTCAAAAACACTTGTTAAAGCAAAGAGAAAAATACCTAGATGCAGGAGAACTTTATGTGCACAATTTGGAGACCAAATTGCATAAGTTACAGCTAAAAATTAAAAGTCTGAATGTTTTCGGTTTCCTTTTAATTTTATCTTTGCCTGATTTTATTTTTCTGAAATAATTCCACACATTTCTTTAAAATGACTTGAATGTTGGCCAGGACGGGAGGCATGTGAGAGGTAAATGGCGACGGTGTGCACTGGAGGAGGGAAGGAAGTGGGATGCAGTTGGTTGGAATTCTGTGGAGAAATTATGTATTGACCTGTCAGAACCATAATTTGCCTTTTTTTTTGAGGGAGGGGGGAGAAACGTGTCTAACCCTACGTAGAACATCTAAAGAAAAGTAGTAAATTTCATGTGAATGACATTTATACCAGAGACGTTTAAAATGTTTACGATTCTCATTTTTAACAGTCGGTCGGGAGAAAAGCAGTGTCAACCATGCAGATAAGGAAGGTGTAGAGAGACGGAGAGGTGTGAAGTGAAGGTACTCCTTACTCCATACGTAGAGTGTGTTTAAGGCTCGTGTGCTTAGGACAAGACTTGACAAATTAATGCCGTGTACATGAAGTATTTTCCCTTTCCTCCCTGCCATTCCAGCTGGTGATGGTAAAGACAAATCTGGTCCCTCTAGACATTTTGGTTAGCTGTGTCCTCAACTGCTTAGTGAAAATGCGCACAGTTATGTTTGCCCAAGCCCTCGTGTTCTGCTCCCACTTACTGTGTAAGCTTGAGCCTCTTAGATCTGCCGACACGCGGCAGACAGAGGCCGTGCCTCACGCTCCCCCTGCTCGCGTGTCTGCCGTTGCCCGCACGCCCCCTCCACCCAGGCTGTCCATTCGGGGTGACCGTCTGCACGCCCTCCCATCTTTCCCCACCTGCTCTGTTTCTGATCTTCCTCCTCTTGTGGTTTGTGAAACTCACGCCCTGCTTTACACACCGATCTAAGATGCCTACGCAGGAAGGCCCAGACATGTCCAGCACGCTCTCTGTCCTTCCAGAAGCTCCCGGGGTCATGTGTGTTCTCTCCCTGGTTCCAGGTCCACGGTTTCGACTGTGGCCTTTTTGTGCTAAAATGCTTCTTCTCTTTGGAATGCCTGTTTCAGCAAGGATGAAATATTCCGAGTCTGTAAAAGTCTTGGTTTTGTTTGGCTTCGCTTTGCTTTGTTTTCAGGGTAGAATTTTCCCCCTTGAGTTCCCTGTGGGCCAAGAGCAAACACGCCTCAGCACCGTGTCCTTCACAGTCCCCCCGACGGGGGTGGTTCTTCCAAAGCCGCCTTCCACTAATTTTCAGGGGGGGAAAAAGCCAAACTCCCACCTTTCCCATAAATGAACGTTAAGATTCATATCACATTTCTAGAAATATTCCTAAAACGTCACACAAGGCTCTTTCTAAACCTTGATGTTACTGCCGTTTCCACAGATAAATTTGCCAAGAACCCTAAGAAATACTAGCTCTGCAAAAATGTGAACTTTTCACGTCTGACTTCTGCGGGCTCTGGAATCATTTTTAAAAGCCAGGAGACGTATACTTTATGCTGAGGTTAGATATCCAGAAACTATGAGAGGTGGCTGTGGTTTTGTCCTTTTTGTTGTCAGATGATTGACTTAAAACGAATTTTCTCTGATAAGACAGTTGGTCACCACCACAAAAGTCATTATGTTCTCTTTAAAGTCTCTCTTCTTTTTAATGGAGACGCCAAGCAGAAAGGTTTGGTTCTGGCTAAAGTTTATAACGAATTGGCAGTCTTCTGGTGTATATGTTGTGTTTAGGTGATATCAGTGGCTTGTTTTGTTTCAGAGATCCTGGTATTAATGCAGTGACCCTACCTCAAAACTGAGTGACTCATTTAACTGTTATTTATGGAAATGGGTGCCTTTGGTATAAACTCCCCATATGAGCACCGCCGCACCCTGCTTTCTTTGCAGACACAATTTCTCTAAATCCTCATCCCTTCATTTTTTGAAAAATTTTGAAAAAATTTTAAGTAAAACCACACTGGTCCTAAACTTCAGGAAGAGAATAGTGTGGAAAAGGGAGTCTTTTCTTTCTTATTCTTAATATTAGGAAATTTTATGTAAATCATTAAGTACAGGTTTTCTAAGTTCTAGCGGGTTTGTTCCCCCAGAGTGACCCATTTAATGTCTCTTAACCTTAAAGACCTTTTTTTCAAATTCACTAGAAGTTTCAGACCTTTTCTTGACTTTAAATCCAGTTTCAATGTGGTTTTCATTCATTCTTTTTATTTGCCTCCAGAGGAAGTTTCCACTTTCTGAAAGGCTTCTGTAATGTCTATAGCCATAAAGATGCCTTTGGTAACATCTTATGCAGTGGGGTTCTGCTATTGGTGACATTTCCTAAAATGGGCGAATTTAGAGGTACTGCAAAAATAGAGGTACCGAGTACTCGGTACAGAACTACACTTTTCAGGAGCCCGAACTGCATGCAGTGTGGCACACACAGCCCTTCACACTAGCCATTAGATCATTGCCAATGACCGAGACCATGTGGGGGCACTTGCCCCTGCGCGCGCCGCCGAGTTCCTCGGGCAGCCTTAGAATGTGGATGCTGGGCACCCAGCTCACAGCTGCCCTTTGACTTAGCATGCAGACGTGAGCTCACTGCTCCGGTGGCTTCGTTTGTAGCCAACGCCGCTACCTTTTTAATTCCAGGCACAGAAAGATCTGAAGAAGGACCGGCCTGTCGTGCGCCGCAAGTCCGAGCTGCCTCAGGACCTCCACACCAAGAACGCCTTGGAGGCTCACTGCCGAGCTGATGAGCTGGTCTCCCAGGACGGGCGCTAGCCCCCTCCCCGACCCCACCTCGGAGGACCGCGTCGGGCTGGGGATGCCTGTTCTTTCCTGGATTCTGTAGAAAATACATCCTTTTTGTGCCATACAAATCAGTTACACTCAGAGTCAGAGCTTTCTTCAACCCCGTCCTGTAGGCAATAATGCACGTCTGCCTCAGCGCGAGATTAGGAGTTCAAACAATGGTGGCCTCTCAGATGGGTTGGCAGAGCCGAGGGCCACTGGCCACGTCCCCAGCCGGTGGGCTCAGCCCCGGCACAGCCCCCGTAAGACTACTTCCCAAAATCAGAGCTAAGGAGAGCACCCTGGTCATCATCTTCATGTCCTGCCCAACCGGAATTCGTGATCATTTAAAAATAAGTGGTTCTATGATACTGTCAATGTTCTTCAAATCAAAGGAACACTTTCAAAAAAGTTTATTACATATTTTTGAAGACTTTACAAACCTTTTCCATTGTTTCTCCGTGATTGTTATGCCAGTAGCTTCCCTCTCTCTCTCTCTCTCTCTCTCTCTCTCCCCC